GGAGGGTGAGAAAAGTTTTATAGGTTTCGCATTACATCATTGTCACTCCGGAGCACCCCAATAGGCAGCTCTACATATAGGTAGGAGGCGGTGGATGTGCGCACCAACCCCGCGAAAATCCCCGTTTACGCCATAGCCCCTGTTAGAGGGTGGTTTTCAAACGATGAAATCGCCCGGACCACAGGCAAGATTTATTCAATTAGAGTTATCGTGCTCACTCTCTCTCCTCTCTCTCTCTCTCGCGGTTCTCCTCGCCGGCTGCGGAGTTATAAGCTCGACGCGAGCGAGATTTCATGCGAAATCTTCATATTTCGTCCGGATCCTCGAAACTCGCCTCTGAATCGCCTCTGCTATTAGCCGCTCTCAATTTACCTCTGGCATTCTCCGAGGCGTTCTGGAATGTCGCCTCGACAAAATTGGCCAAATCGCGCAGACTATATTAGTCCCGATATTAGTCGGCTAATTTCTTCTTTACCGCTGCGCGTATAGAGATGACGTTTTCGCGAGGACGAAGACGAAACGCTGCCTACGACGATTCTCCCTGCTGACCGCGCAGTCCCGTCAAGGCCGCGTCGTGTTTTATCGGCTTATCAAGACGTAGTCGCGCCAAGCTGTTCGTCCACGCTGTGGGAACTTAAGGAATCATCGCGTCATACATCCAAGAGGTGTATTTATAGCGCCTCCAGGAAGAATCCTCCTCGGCGGGTCCACGTGCGTGGCTGATTATAGCGCGGTCTGCTGCACTCGACTCTTTCCCGCCGACTGATGGCCCTTTCGCGCTGGCGGGGACGAAAGTTTAACGTACAAGACAGCTTGCAAGAAACTGCTCTTGCAATTGTTACATTTCTTCCTTCTTCCTTGCGTACAAAATAAAACAGAGATTTCGAGCGGCGCGACGAGGTAAGAGGTGTGTCTTGGAGATGAAGCAATTGTTTGGAAAATATACGAGGGGCTACCTACCGGAAAGTCTTTTCGTTTCTCCGTGTTCTTCATTTTTTTTTCCTTCGTGCTCAAACGCCGCCATTTTCTAGTAAGAGTAAGTTCGATCTTAATGAAAATTGACACACGGAATAAAGAAATGCTGTCAACTAACCTGGAATTTAAATTAATTCTGGATCAAAATTCAGAACCCGTACACTATAAGAACCACCAGGAAATCGAAGGCTTTGAAATACGGCAAGACTTTCCGGGACCCCTGATATGTTTCCACAGGCGATTGATTATCTTATTAGGATAATAATTAGGATACATAAAGTTAGTGTGTTGCACGCATATCGATACACGTGAGACGCTGCGAGTTGAAGCAGGCGTGCAGCCTTGACGTGGCGCGGAACAAAAGTAACGCGCAGGTACAAGACGCAGCGACAGCTCGCAACTACTTGGGAAGCACGTGGCAAGGAGTAAACAGCGAGTCAAGTGTGTATTCGATTACCGTTTCAAGCTGTTTGCTGTCCGCTGAAATAATGTTGATTTTACGATCCCTTGCGGATATACCTGTGCACAGGTGCGAGACCGCATACCTGTCAAAATACCCAAGTACAATTCATTACCCCCGAGCCCCCCGGGACTATCCACGGGGATGCTGGGTGAGAGCAGGCCGACTGTCATTGTACGGCGCTCGCTCAAATAGATTTTACACGCTTTTGCATCGGCGCAGGTAGACGTTGCTACCTTTTCGTGCTCGACAAGGTGTGAAGCGGCGGACCGCGAGGCGAAGACTCGACACCTATTTATCCTCGAGGACTCGTCGTCGCACGGACACGAGCAATATCACAGACCATGTCCAGATACATCGTGCAGGATCATCAAGAATATCACATCTCGTCCTCGATGAGATCGAGTCCTGGAAAATTCGCGTCTCCATCCGAGATGGAGGGAGACTGCGAGTCACGTGTGCTTCTTTGGTTGCTCGTCGAGGTGATATTTCGCAGAGTGCATTTTAACGCAATCGGGAAGCGCAGCGGAGGTAAGCCGACGGAGAACACGGGGGGAATCGCTCATCTTTGGCTCAAACGATATTTCTCCTGACATTTTCGCCGCTAACGAGTTCGAAGGATAAAAGGCACCTGCGGCGACGGCGGCGACGGCGATTCGCCCACAGCCGCGGTCGTTTATTAACTCAACCCTCCGGACGGTGATATCACGCGCGACATAACTTACGCTTGGACAGGGTTGCAAACTATACACACACACACATACACACACATACATACACCGCAGGGATAAGCGTACGTAACGACGCTAAGGTTATGGTGTTACGCGCGGATGGTGGAGTGGCATGGTGTCCAGTGACTCCCATGTCGGCTTGTTATCCGGACCGCCCCGTCGTTATCTGCAATTACCCCAAAACAGCCCCTAGTTTATAAATTATAGGCCACCCCCGTGCCCCGCGCCGCGCCGTAACCCCCTTCTCGCGCTCGTTCTGCCGCCCGCTGTCAGCCTCCGCGCGCGCGAGTGCTCTCGGCGCGTTCGGCCTCTTCTCTGCCCGCCCGCCCTCGCCCCCCCCGCCACCAACCCCCTCAACCGGTCCCAGTGACGCCGCTGTCGGAACCGGCAGTACATCTGTCATCAAACGCAGCCAATTACGTACAATTATCCTGGTCACCAGCTTGCCCGCCGTCGTGTTATCGCCGCGCGTTATCATCCGATGACGCGGCCCCGACGAAGAACAAATTCCCGGCCAATTAAGCGAAACTGTGCTGCGGTAATTGCTAATTAGACGCGCGCCGACCGATTACAAGTCGCGCGAGCATGTTCGCGAATATCGACCGGCGAGCGTGCGCCGCCGACGATCTTCCTTCTTCGGGTTCGAATTGCGCTGGGTATTCGTTCTGAGGGAGGGGGGAGGGAGGGAGGGAGGGAAGGGGAAGAAAAGGGGGGCGCGATGTATTTCTGCTTTCAAAGCAAACTCTCGAATAACTTCCACCCTTAAATACGAATAATTAACGAGAAACTAATAGGTTTCGACACGACGACTTTGTGTGCAAGAAAGATATTGACATCGCGTGATATTTGTTTACTTCTCTCTTTCTTCTCTATGTATTTTGTTCTTTCCGCTCTCTTCCGCAATACAGCTCTGGCGCTATCCTCCTCCGCAATACAGTAGCGTACTTTGATAAGTCAACAGGAAAATATGAATATGCCCAGCACTTGAGAAGATCGCAGCGTGATCTTCCTTCCGGCATGTATCTCCTCCTCACGAGAGGTGTCTCTCTTCGAGGACGGGTTTCACGGATTCTCGCTCGATTTTCGCCGCTAAATTAGATACTAAATTCACACACCCCGCCATCTACGCGGCGCGCGATCATCCTGACGGGATTTTTCCGATCTTCCGCAGGCCGGCGCGCGCGCGCGCGCGAGACCAGCCACAGGATGCTCTCTCGCGGACGGCGACAATGCGACGAAACGTCCTGCGCGCGCCATTGTCCCGAGAGATTTCAATGGATATTGCGACAATGAGCCGTTGACGGCGGTGCTGCGCGCGCGTTGCGCAAAGGGCCGTGCCGGCGGGCTCCCCTCGCAGGCTAGCATAAGCCTGCTTGACTGTACTTTTCACCGCCCTTTCCACGGCGCGAAATTATTATTATGTCCCCGACCCCTCGGCCGCGTGAGCGCCGAATAGACATCTGCTTTCGAAAGGCGTAAATACGCGTATATATATATATATATATATATAAGACGAGGCGCGGGCTACGAGAAAGATCTTTCGCTGTGTTGCGTTCGCGAGGCGCGTCGCGATGGGTAATATCGATCGGATCGTGGACAATAGAATTCGCGAGATATAATTAGTTGTCGAAAATTAATTGTCGTAATCATCGCGAAATTGCGCTATTAAGTCGGCTATTAACGAGGCTCGTCGCAACATTTACGAATTAATAACGATATTATAAAATTTATAAAATTAATTGTAAAATTATAAAATTATAAATTATAAAATAGGAATATTATAAAATTTATGAATTATTATATGTATCGTAAGACAAAAATATTAATATCGAAATACTTGATATATATTTAAAACAGATACACACACACACACACACGTACCTTGAGTTTAAAATCTATAAAATTAATTATAAAATTATAAAATAATTAATTATAAAATAACAATATTATAAAATTTATGAATCAATAACAATATTATATGTATCGTAAGACGAAATTATTAATATCGAAATACTCGATATATATTTAAAACAGACACACACACACACACACACGTACCTTGAGTTTTCGATGCATCTTTTGTATTTAGAGAGGGATTCAAGAGTGCCCCAAGTTCGGCAAGTTTGTTCAAAGTCGAAAAACTCGGAAGAGCAACGACGGAGGTCTCTCGCACCGATCTAACGAGCATCGAGAGAATTCGTCGTTTGTTGTACGTCGCGGGATAAACGAGCGAGTGAACTTGTATAACAGCCTTTATTTTATCGATATGATACAATTTTAGGAGATGCATGTCATTATGTTATGTTAGGTGAAATTGAAACTCATCTCCCCGTTATCGGTATCCAGGCGGTGTGTGTAACGAGTTACAGTTAACAATCGTTACAAGACTTAACGCTGCGGCTATAGGTCAAGCGATATGATTCGTAATTTGACGTCATTTCATTGGTGGAACGCCGCGATTAACGCGGCTAACGTCGCCCGCATCGCGTCGTCTCTTTCTCTCTGTAGGAAACAAGAAGAGGGAAATCGCGTCTTACGCGCTAGATTGCAAAATGTTGGAGCTGTCGCGATCTTACCGTGTATATCTCGCGCGAGACGACGTCCGAGCCGCGAAATCGCGCCGCTCACTCTCTTAATCGCTACTATCCGTTAATATCTAATGGTAAGATTGACTTTAGCACAAAAATACATTTTCGTAATTACAGCTAAATCTCTCTCTCTCTCTCTCTCTCTCTCTCTCTCTCTCTCTCTCTCTCTCGCTCTCTCTCTCTCGCTCTCTCTCTCTCTCTCTCTCTCTCTCTCTCGCTCTCTCTCTCTCTCTCTCTCTCTCTCTCTCTCTCTCTCTCTCTCTCTCATTTTAGTAATTAGCTCACGGTGACGCGAGCACGCGTGACGTTTTCACTCGATCCTTCCCCGAAACCCCACTTAGGTCTTGGAGAGCGTCACTAAGAAATCTAAGAAGGAGACTCACAACGACGGGGTAAATTGAACAAGGAAATCGAATAATAAACGGAGGTGCTCCACGGAAATCCTTTGTACAATGAGAGACAGACAGACAGATAAAATGCGCCGTCTGGCAAACAGATCAATCCCCCCTGCCTTCACGCACGTGTAAAATTTCCTTTCCCTGCTACTCGGCTGAGGAAGAATCGCGTTAATCGCTCTTATCGCTCTCGAGGTAACGAAGAACTTTCGTGACGAGGGAATCTTCGAGTCTCTCACCGAGATCTCATGAATCGTCACGATACTCGCACACAACACTGCCGGCCACATTTACCAGCCGACCAGTGACGACACGTCTCGGAGATATACGATATTACGATATTCGTAAATATATATTTACACATGAAGTAACTTTAATATGCACTTGGAAGACAGAGGTTTATATATGTTATATGCATATATCGATATATAACGTAAGTATCTCTCCCTTACTTTCTCCTTGTATGTATCTGTGTGTACACACTGAGAAAGAGACTCCCGTCGTCGCAACAAACGAACGTTTGCTGTTTGACAATTGCGCGGGGAACAGGTCGGGAACAGTTGACGCGACAAATCGTTTGTCGTTATTTGTAATTTTTGACAAGTATACACACACACACACACACACACACACACACACACACACATTGCCGGAGATGCAACAGCCATTTGTTCCCATCACAAAATTGTCGGTCAGAGCAACAAATCATTTGTCACCACAACGGAGTCATTCGCCGTAACCATCTGCTACTGCGGTTGCTGGTGTTTTGTTGTTAACGACAAACCTTTCTCGTCAGTGTATATATATTTATATTTATATTTATATTTATATGGTGTACATGTAAGCGCGTATGAGTGTATAATTTTATACACATGCACGCACCGACACGTACGCCTCATACACTTAGGTAACTCCATAACTCGCCATCCCCGTAATTATTATTTATTTATCGCGCGCCATCGCCAGCGATCAGCTATCCCCGGTATATAAATGAACTGCTTCTCGTCGCTTCCTCCTCAATCCTCCTCACGTCCATCCAGCCAGTGATACACCTTATCTAAGTGTAACCGAAACACGTAATAGAATTTCAACGAAAGTTCGCGCAGATCCGAGACGAGTCCGGATGAGCAGACATGTCATCACGCCGCGGCACGTCTCGTCGAGGTGGATCGGAATCAACTCACTCGCGAATTTCCACGAAGCTCCGCAGATGTATTTGCGCAGAGTGGAAAAGTTTCTTTTCGCGGGGGGAGATCAATCGGAAGAAACACGCGTGTTTGCTTGTGTCTCCACAGCAATCACGTCGGAAATCGTTCTCGTGCTTGTGCGATGTAGTAGACTTCGCTCGCGACACGTGTGATGTGAGCTCTAAATGTTCACACTGACCCTTTTGCTCTATTCGATCGATATATTGAGAAAGGAAGACCTCTGAGAACCTCGTCGCTCGATGTCGGTCGTGATTACAAACGCCATCGAAGCCTCGGCGATTGAGCTCGACACGGCAAGTGCAGATTCGACTTTTGGCCGGGGCAATATTTCTCGCAACACTAACTAAAATAGTCTTTGCTCAAAGCCCGGGCGGGGGGGGGGGAGGGGAGGAACATGTGATATTAAAACTTCAATATTATAATTATTATCGAGGGAAGTGAATCGGTCCGACGTTAGCAGTGGCTCGCTCCGAGTTACGTAGAAGCGCCGCGGCGGAAAATCCGCGGAAAACCGCGGCGCGTTCTACCAATTATATCCGTTGTTAGATTAGATTAAATTACCGCGACCAACACGAGGCAACGGCTCTCGAGGGTCTTTCTTTAATATATTACGTATGACGAGCCTCGCGTGCCTGCACGATATGTCGCGCAACGCTACACGCAGAATTATGATTCCAACTCGTTACTTCTCATCACGGAGCTCGGTTGCGCAGCTGCTCTGAGATTGATATATTCGAGGAATCCGAAAGAATCCCGAAGAGAGAGAATACTTTTTCAGAAAACATACTCGAGAGATACATGTGTTACGCGGCTTGCCGACTTCTTCGTATACTATCGTAAAATCAAAAGCGAGTGACGTTTGAAAATGAATCGCGAGTCGGACTCGGATCGCGATTCATTTCCACTTAAGACACAAACAGTAACAGTAACGACGATATCAACTGACTTTAATTCTATATTTACAGGCTAAGTACCTTAGACTCTTAGATGGTTTTCGCAAATCGAGAGCTTACGAGGCTAACGCGATAAGGGGTAAAGTATAGAGCGGAGAGAGAAACGAATGAATCGATTGTAAAAAATGACGAACGACCTGCCGGTAAATTATAGCTCGACCGCTATGTACAAGTAATTATAAGGCGTCACATCGAAATGCTATATCAACATCTTGCATGCGCGCTCATTTAATTATACCTCTAGCCTCCCGCGTTAATTAGCCGCGTCTAATCTTTAGCTGCCAAGAAGGACCTTCTCGCGTCTCCGAGGCGTATTTAGAGCCTCGCTTGGATTTTTGATATGAATTATTTATTGATCGATGTGGCTGTGCCGCCACATGTGTGTGTCCACAGGTTGTGACGGTCGCGCAGACGGCACGTCGTATTACTTTCTCGAGGAAAGCAAGAAACTATTACGCGCACCTATCACACCCGCAAGTTACGTGAAGAAAGGACAACTTAATCCTAATCGTCCGATCGCGTGATACAAAATCGCGTGATGCAAAACATTCCGCGAGACGAGTTAAAGGACGTTAAAGGGTATCTCTCTTCCTCTTCCTCTCTCTCTCTCTCTCTCTCTCTCTCGCGCGCGCGTATCCTAGAAAATGCTGCAAAATCCAAGGACCTCGAAATCAATGTAATCCTTGCGACGGCGACACGAGTAACAACGAGTTTAAAATGTTCTCCTGCCGGTGATCGTGCGCGCGTTGTCTGACGGCGCGTGGACCTACGAATTGAGAAAAGCCTATCGATACAACCATCCGAGTTTGCGATTACGACGATGTCGTTTTCCATTAAATTGCGAATGTGTGTGTGTGTGTGTGTGTGTGTGTGTGTGTGTGTCGTTGACATTCGGCGTGCACAATTGACAAATGTGTCGCGCAGCGTACGCTAGCAGCGAAGCCGACGGACTTTCATGCCCGCTGCATGAATCGACGACACCCCCCAGCTCGCTGTATTTATCATTACGCATTAGAGTACGCGGTTCTAATTATAAAATCGACAGACGACGTTCGCGGTGAGCATTACGAATATCAAGACGGTTCCGCCTCTCTCTTGTGTTCCGACTCCTCTACGAACGACAAACACAGTCTCGCGAGAATGAGAGATGACAACCCGTGTGAAAGTAACGTCCGGAGATGTGTAATTGTCTGAAGTCTGACAAGAAGGTATTTTTTCAAAGCAACGACACAGGTCCGTCGTACGGACGACGGAATCGCGCCGCTGATCGTCGATGTTGTAACAACACACCATCAGGTGACTGTTGCTTCCTTCAAAGTGGCTTCGAAGAATTCAGGTACGCCCGATCCGGGCCGATTCGCGCGATACAAACCGCTCTTCGCGAACTTCTTACTAAACGTATCCCTCGCGTGGATAAGTACGTTTATGATGTAGAATCTGTCAGATATGTAGTCAGTCTACCTACGATTCTAGAATGATATCTCGCCTGACTTGAACTCTGAAACACGCGGAGCCTATTCTCTAAATATCGCCGGATTTCGTGTGACTCAACCGGGGTTCAGTCGACTTGTCCCTCGTAGATAATCTCGCGCGCGCGTGTCCCACTCGATACGAACAAGTGGAAAGCTGCCGATTCAGTCGCGTCCGACAGCGAGGAAACGTCTGACACGCGATCGGACTTTTCTCGGCATGACGTAACTAGCGCGAAGTGTCGGAAAGGAAATTCTACGAACTCTATTCGCAAAACGACGGTCAGTTTTTGCCTTATCCTCCCTTCGTTGTCCTCTTTCCCTTTTTGGCGATACGTGTTCTCTTTTGGCATCGTCATGAGACAGTGACCCGGGCTCCGCTTACTCCATAGTGTCGTACTTGACCTTCTTCACTTTGAAGTATCGATAGGCCGCGTAGCCGGTGATCGTCAAGAGGACCGCAGCAGCCAGCGTGGAACCGACTGCCACCGGCGCGGTTTCATCCCTGCCAGCGCGAGCGCTCAACGCGGTGCACGAGAACTCGGCGGCGAACTCGTTGTTCTTGAACTTGAACGGCTGCAGCTTCATGTTTCTGCAATTTCGTACGTTTCATTGCCTCGCGAATTGTGTCTCCCCTTTACGTAACGCACGGTACGAGATCGCTCGGAGAGGCGTCGGGGTGTTTCTTACACACTGAACACACACCTGTTATCTCGGGTCAGTCTAAAAGTTCGCTTCGGTTCCTCGGCGGTTAATCCTCCGACGGTAAGTCGGAGTGACACACATCCCGTGATAAGCACGCGGCAAATTTTGCCGGGACGTGGGCAAGGAATCGCAAACAACAACGACTATTGACGAATACTTATTCGTTTTCTCGTTGAACACGGTAGAGCAGGGGTTCTCAACCGGGGGGGAGGGGTACGAGGAAAAGTGATTATAATCAACAGGGATTAAGACGAATTCTGGAATAATCCGGTATTTTTACCGCCGTCAAATTTAAAGAAATGTTATTAAATTATATATTTTTTTACGTATCTGTACGTATATATATATACGCTATCATTGCGCTATCACTATGCGAAGCTTGATAATAACCGTAGATAATAATTTTATAATATTTAAAATGATAATTTCTACAAAGCAATGCTATGTAATAATAAATTATTACAAATTAACTTCTTACTTCAAAACCGTAACAACTAATTTTTACCATAAAACATACGAATAATTTCTCTTTCACAGGGGTGCGCGAAGGTTCGTTGACAAATCTTTAGGGTTGCAAAATACAAAGAAAGTTGGGAAACCCTGCGGTGGAGTGTCCAGCTGAGATGCAGAAGCCGAATCGAACTTTTCCAAAATAACATCACGCACCGCAACAATTGAGTCTTTGAGTCGTCGTTAATTTACCATGTGTTATCAGAAATGAGGGATGAATGGATAAGCGTTTCGTGCCGAAAGCGGCAAGACAATGACGCCGTTGTTACCTGAGGAGCACGCTGGCGTGGTTCTTGCCGTCAGTCAGCGGGATTTCGGTTTCATCTGAGCAAGCGTACGACTTCCCGACCGGCGTGGGAAACAGCATGGAGCTGTGCTTCTGCCCGGTGCTCAGCCGAATGGTCTTATCTGGAACACCAGTGAAACGATCGAATTCAGTGCCCGCCGACTCTCGTAAATCGCGTAATCGATACAGAATTCACCGCGATCGCGCGTCACTCACTTGGCTGCTCGATATGCTCGAAGTGTTTTTCGCTGGAGTTGTAGGTCAATTCGATCTTCTCGACGTACCAGCGCTCACCACCGGGGGTCTGCAACAGAAAGAATCACCGTGTCTCATCGAGCGTTCCCGGGGAGCGTTCACGAAGTCAAGTATCCCTTCGGCCTTACGTTCACTTGTAAAAATTAAATCGCCGTCGGATCAGAGATAAACGACAGCCGAGCGAGCACGTTTCGCGTGCTCGACTCGAGTTTTATCACTCGTGCCGCTTGATTTTTTCGTGGCGCAAGGCATCAACGTGCTACTCCTGATGAAGCGTTCTTACCATTTATACGGCTACACGCCGTACCTGCCGCTCCAAGTTATAATTGCGGAATATCGTGATAGCTGCCGGCACGCAATCGACGATATGAAGGTGAAAATTATAAACGGACTATATCCCAGTAAAAAGGTCATCCCAGTAAAAAGGTATCGATTTTAGCGAAAAGCTAGGCAGGCGTGGAGGAGATTCGGATGATTTATTCTTCGAACAATTGCCCCACCGTCCGGGAAAACTTATATCCCTCTCTCTCTCTCTCTCTCTCTCTCTCTCTCTTCCTCTTTCTCGCAGCTGGAGGGGGGGGAGGGGGGTTTGTCGGTCGCTGAATCGGGAAGAGAAGAAAAGAGCGTAGGAATTACCTTAGCGAAACTCCAAGATAGTACAAAGGCCTTCCACTTCAACGACATCGTCACCGTGTTCTCGTTGTCGCAATTGCCGGTCACGGTCGCGTCCTCGGGCACGTAGATGTCCGCCTCCTGAAAATTTCAACGCGGTCGCGATTAGTCGTGAATCCGCTCAACCGTCCGCGGAGGACGGTTCCTCCTCCTCCTGCTTATCCCAATTTACAAGCGACAATTTAATTCGCGATGCGAGCGATTCTTACTTGATCGTCGCCGCGTATCGTGCGATACTTGACGAGGATGAGCGCGTCCACCTGCAGGAGAATACAGGCTTGTCCGTTGCTGCCGTCTAGTCGATACAGCGGCAGCTCCGTCGAGAAGGATCTGTGCGTGGTCGGCGTTGTCGTAGGCATGGTCGTGGTTGTTTTAAGTTCGGAATTGACTATCGACTTAAAAAGACGTTAAACGACGTGATTGTCAACAATGATTACTCACGGATCGAATGTTTCAAAGAACACCGCCGCTATCGGCGGAAAATAGCCGCGTGAGAGAGAATTTTGGTTCGCCGTGTAAATAACGAAAAATAAAAGGAACAAAGAAGAAAGTCGCTCGCGCGCGCTCGCGCGCGCGCGCGAGGTGACTTCCGTCTGCGAGTGTGAGATAACTTTCCACGGAAATCCCTTCCGGAGAAGGTCACCTGTTGGAACAACAGTATGTAACGAGCTCTGAGACTGCGACTTTGCTCTTCTACTAATGCAGTAGGGTCTATAGCGCGTAAAGTCGTTGCTGTAACGTGCGAGCCAGCAGATACGCGGCGCGGGGGAGGGGGGGGGGTATATAGCACCCGGAAACAATGGCCGCGAGTAATGACAATAGTAAAAGTTTCCGTCGCAATAACGCGGAACGCTTTGTGCGTCGTGACGTCATGTAATATATATACTGTCGAAATGTCAAGGAGTGTGGTGAAATCAGCCAATAGTTGTTACAAAAGCTTGTTACTCGAAACGGATCCCTCGTAACGCATTGAAGTCGCGTCTATTTCCTAACTTCCGCGGCTTGTAATTCTCGAGCTCGATGATTACGACTCGATGGGACGATTCCTCTCGCTCCGTTCGTCGCGAGAGAAAACAATCCCAAGCGACGTAGGACGCTTTTATAATTTAATATCGCGATCATGGGGCTTGACGGCCGAAGTTATTCTTCGACGTAGCAGCAGAGAAATGTTAAAGAGTGTATATAGGAAGAGGGAAAGCAGAGAGAGAGAGAGAGAGAGAGAGAGAGAGAGAGAGAGGGAGAGGGAGAGGGTGGGAGGGAGAGACAGAGGAGTATATATTAAAGTATGTTTGTGCAAACAAGCTGCCGACACGTTAAACATTTTATCGGTCGTCCAACGCGCCTAAGTGCAGACTTGGCACAGGTACACGACTCGAGGATATTGCGATATCGCCCCTGCTCTCGGAGAGTCCTTGCCAAGGGAGTATTTCTTCGGTTTGCCTTCGGTTTCTCGCAAATCAGCACGATCGTCGTCGTGGCGATATATCGCGCCAGTAAAATCCTCGCGCCGCCCTCGTGACACGGTGGTGGTGGTGGTGGTGGTGGTGGTGTTTACTGCCGGAAGTTATACGACTATCGCCACGACGAAATGAAACGCAAATTGCATGACGCGTATCATCCGGCGGAATATTTGCACAGCAACAGGCAACGTCCAGCGTATACGCGATAAACGAGTTAGCACGAGGGATCACGCTAGATCGACCGATCGCCGCAGGATATTCCGTTTTCATTTCAACGTTATTCCGATTATTATGCGAATCTAGCCGATCCAGAATCGCGACAACGTGTAAGTAATGGTATGAAGAAAGCTGCAATTATCAAACTTTAATGTGTGTCAATTGTCTTGCGTCAAATAATCGATTATGTCGATGGCACGATGAGAAAGAATATGATGAAGAATATTTTTGTTTAAAAAAAAGTTGAAGTCTCTCTCTCTCTCTCTCTCTCTCTCTCTCTGTCTATCAAATTTCTTACTAACAAGGAAACCGTCGGGACTGTCGCTCATCGATTTTAATGGGCTTTGGATATGTTCGTCAGAGTGTCAAAAAATATCACACACGTATTTTCGAATGTGCTTATACGTTATTCTTGTTAATATATGCACGTTCATCTATCTCACGTCTTTATTTTGTGTAATAAGTTACATATTATGTCATTAAGATTAATTCTCTTGCATCTTGCAGCGTGAGGAAATATGCACAAGAGGCAATTATTGACTACTGAAGCGCAACTGAAAAGAAGTAGCGCAACGCTTATCTGTGATATTATCTCGTTTCTCTAAAAATTAATCATGACCATATTGTATTATTATACGCGGATCGACGCTCGGCATTAGATGCTCTTTAATTTCTGTCCTCATGAAATCTTTTTAATTTTGCAAAATTAATGGGTGGCTGGGAATAGGTTGAAAAATTTGACACTTTTGCAAAATCTGAACACACCGTTCTGAATAGTAAAAAGTACTGTGAAACTTTTGTAGAAAGTATTTTTTCCATATACCTCGTACTTTAGAAGATATTCGCGAAAAATGAGAATGTCGGTTTGCTTCGAGGGGTTGTCTCATCCTCTAAATCTCGAGATAAGCACACATGAAAATACGTGTCTAATATTTTTTTATGCTTTATAACATATCCAAAGTCCAGGAAAATTGGTGAGGGACAGTTCCGACGGTCCCCTTCGTAAATCGTCTATTTCGTGAGCGAAGGTTAACGTTAACTTTGGGTATTATAAGACGCGAAAGAGAAGATAACACACAAGGGGTGGCAAATAGGGCCAAGGCTACGCGTGAAACTTCAGCCAATACAAAGTGAGAACGGCGTACAGAAGTTTCGATAGAACTGCCCTGCGTGTACATACACACACACACACACACACACTTTATGAATTCCACGCATTATCATACTTTACAGGGAACGCGACCGCCCGACAGCTTTAAACCGTTCCAGCCTTGAGGAGAGACTGCGGGAACCTTCGCGAAGACGTGATTTTCGAAGTTTCCTGAAAACTTGCACGTAATCGCGCCTGTCCCCCTATCTCTGCGCCATGTAATATCAATACGGCGCTGCGGGCAATCTTTCGTCGCGTTTAATTATCGGATTTCAGCATTAAGTTAAATAAGCGCCATAATGAACGCGACGTAACGCGATTACGCGGGATTCGCGACGATGTAGCGTATGTAGGAAGGAGTGGTCGCCGCCCACTGGAAGGACATTAGAGTCTGTAGATGTATACATGATATGCACGACCCGACACGAGAATCGACCTCTCTCTCTCTCTCTCTCTCTCTCTCTCTCTTCATTTCCTCCCTTCTGTGTCACGAATATATTATCGTTTTCTGTGAATCCATTTAAATAATTACTCTCACGTGTGTGTATAGATGTATATACTTCATCGTACTTCTGAAAAGTGCACGAGTCCGAAGGACCTCACCATGTGTGTACGATCGTGGATAGAAAGGTTGCCGGTAATTTTGTGTGCAAGCTCCAAAAAGCACTTGTTTCGCCCGATCGGACAATTCGCCTATCGGAAAGACAAACTTTCCCATTGGACTAGACGAGTACATTTTGAAAAAGTGGCACGAAAAAATGCTTCGCGAGAATCGCTGGCTGTGGTATCACGGTGGTATTACGGGAAAGCCGATTAACGTCTCTCGAATGAACGACGAAATATGCGATAGAGAAATTATCTCTATAAATCAAGGTCGATCGTTGTCCGATCGTTTGAAAAATCCGAGTGTGTAAATATTTGCGTTCGCGAGGAGAACTCTCGAGGGATGCGAAGAGGACAGTCGTCCACTCGCGACGGAAGGAGTGCGAGTGTGAAGGAGGAGCTGTACTTACCAAGGGCGATCTCGTCCTTGAAGTAGGCATCTCCACGAAGACTTTCGGCGTCCTCCGTGTGGTGTAACGTTGCTCGTCCACTTGTCCCGGTATCGACGAAGGGAAGGGAATACTGAACGCTATGCCCGAGACACACCCTACCAAAAAAGAATTCCGCTAAAATGTTATTATGATTGTCGTTGCACGCTACAGTACGCGCTGCGTTGAACATTTATCTTGTATAAATCGATAGCGGAAGAGCCCTCGGTTCTGCTTTCAAGACGACACGCTAGTCAGACTGTTGTACAATTGACTTTAAACATGTATGAGCAAAGAGGTTGACATATGTGTGGCATATGTGGCAAATTGAAAATCGATCGCCCGTTTCCTTGCATTTGCATATTTTATAATTTAGCTTGCTCTCGCGCTCAAAATAAACGAAGAGAAAGGGAAGGAAGGAAGAGAGAGAGAGAGAGAGAGAGAGAGAGAGAGAGAGCATCGCGCGTTCCGTTAAATCGAATGAAAATTAATCGAGCTCGGGGCGCCGGAGAATATTAAGAAAGTTCGCGGACTAATCGCCGGCCGACCGTATACGAAAGTTTCGCGAGCAATCGTGCAATTTGCATAAAAGTGCTCGCGAAATGAGAAACTTCATTTCTCACGTAGGGACGATCATCGGTCTCCCCGTCGGCGGTGTTCATATAGCTGGCGCTCTGCTATCTACAGTCGCGCTATAATTGTATTATCATAGAGTTTGCCGGAAGTACCGAGAAAATGCTACTCCTCAGAGCGCAGACATTCCGCGTAGGGATTCCGACGGTTAAGATTTTCAAAGCGCGACTCGATTTTGATTCGCACTTTGCGACAGATTTAGGACTCGGTAAAAGATTTGCCGAGCCTCCGGGATCACCGACGTTCGGCGCTCCAATTCTTCGACGCGCACGGTGCGTGCGGAAAATGACTTTTCGTATCCTTCGTCTCTCCTCTTCTCCTCCCCCTTTCTCTTTCTTTTACTCCCACATTCTCCCTCTTTCTCGTGTTTCACGCGAGATCTTTCATTCTACCATCCGTCCACCATCGAACGAAACGCATCTCTTGACAATTACAGTCGAAATTTCTGCCTGAAATTTCCGCTCTTCTCTACACGTTAAAGAGTTCAATGGCGCGATGGTTCTACCCGGTGCGATCGGCACAGAGAGTCACACATTTTCACACATTTTGCAAGAAATACCGCGGCTCGGAAGATAGTCCGCAGATAGTCCTGTAAGAGGCAGGAATTACACGGTTATTTTCCGGGAAACTCACACAGCAGGAAAATCGCCTTCGAGTGTTCGCCGCGACGTGCCATGGCGTTGCCGCTGTCGCTGCCGCTGTTTGCTGTTGCTGTTTGCTGTCCGCACGTCCGCTGGTCCGCACCCTTGACGGCCGATGGATGCGGAAGAGCGAGGACACGAGGAGTCGTGCGCGGAAATGAGATCGCAAGCCGATTCCGCTCGTACGGAACAGTTGCGGTCGGTGGCGACGTTCGCGAGGCTTGTGAGGAGAAGCGAGAGAAAGCTCTCGGGGGTGCGGATCGATCGATAGCGAGGCTTTCAGCATGCGCTACTACGCGGCCGCCGCTCCGCACAACGTGGAAAAAGCACGACTCCCCCGTCGGTGACGTCGACGTGTCCGCGTCGGCGTCGTCGGTGCCGCTCCTCGCGGTCCCCGTCGTCGTCGTCGTCGTCGTCGTCGTCGTCGTCGTATTTACAGGCGACAGGACTGTTCATTCATATTACGTGCGCCGGATACGTCCACCGCGACTTCACCCCGCATTTCCGTGTCGCGGGCATGTATAAATAGTCATGTACAAGCGGAGAAAATTTCGTTTTCGTCGGCTTCAATCGTCGCTGAGAGAGAGAGAGAGAGAGAGAGAGAGGACAATGATTTATTATCGCGCCGTTTCCGCACGTCTCGGCACATCTTGCGAAATTATATTCTCTGCCGGGAGAAATAAATTGGAGACGGGAAAATGAATCGTCTCGTCCGGTGTTCTCTGTGCAATCTCTTTCTCACACTTCTGCTGGGAAATCTGTGAGAGAGATATTCTTTATGATGCAACGAGCGCTTAAAAGGCTCGCCTTTGTGTGATTTCTTTCCCTTTAATCGCGAGATTTTCAGATAATTCGCGCAACAGACGAACTTGAACAAGGTGCACCGTTTATTTAGTTTTGCCGAATCTGCCCCCGTGAAGCTGCTTTTATCGTCCTTGACCTTGGCTATCTTAACTTCAACAATAGCGAAGTATACTTCGTCCCGTAGCCGGACAATAAAATGAGCTTAAGGAAGAATAATGCGCGCATTCGCGCGTATTCGCGCGCGCATTCGCGCGTATTCGCGCGCGCGCGCGCGCGCGGATTCAGCGCAATACACACACATTCGAGGAGACGTTCTCTGAAACTTCTTCAATTATAAACAACCGGGGACAACCGGCGAGATAATTCGCGTGCGAGCTGCGACGGTAAAATTTCCAGCGCTCTTTCACTGCCGGACGATCGCAGACGACGACGTAACGCGCGGTAGGCGCGGCGACATGCTGGTGCTGCGAGGGCACACATGAGGGTCGTATTTCGTTGACCTAACACGTGGGCAGTTCGTTACCTGAAGTTCGAGAAGTTTTCGGGTTCTCCGAATTTTTCTCGGCGAGCCGTACGGCGCGAGCGTGATAAAAAAATTCTTTAAAGATCTCACGACGTCGCGATATGCAAGCAACACGCACACACATCGCATCTACGCGGTATCGCGTGAAAAGTTAGCGTCGTCTGCATTACAGAATAAAGGAAATTTATTTATTGCACACATGCGTGTACAGATTACGATGATTGTATGCGCTGACATAATTGCAGTGCAATGCGTTTCCGCGATTTACCGTGCTGCATTAAAATGTCAGGCATTCAGCGCGCGACGGATTTCTCATTTCTCCCCTCGCGTTCGCGTTCACGTTCGCGTTCGCGTTCGCGTTCGCATTAACTGATCTTCATTTAAATAAGGAAATTACGGAATAACACGCCAAACCGAAGTCAAGCGTGTTATAAGGAAATTGGCGGGCGAGTCGTGGCGTCGTGATTTTGCGAAGCGCCATAAAGCACCGCGCGCGACTCGCGTGTGTGGAAAAATATAATATTCCAAAGTTTCTTTTTCTTTTTGTTAATAATAGCGTGAACCACGTCGACTCGTTATCCGGCCCGCTTACGTCAGAATAAATATTTCCCGCATATTTTCCGCACGTTTATTCGGCAAAGTATAGACGGGAGTTCGCGTGACCAAATTAAATATTCAAATCAAATATTCAGTTCCCGCCACGGATAGACGAAATGTCGATTTCGCGTGTGGGGGGAACTTGCGCGAATGAGCACCTGTTCGTTTTCGCCCATTTAATTCCGCTTCGGTTTTTTTCGCAGGAGACGACATGGGAGACGTTCCGGGTATGTTCCGTCGGAACGATATCGGCACAACGAGTTCGATCCATTCAGCGAGAGGGCCAAAGCGCAGAGTCGGTGGCGTTTGCTTGGTACTGACGTGCCAGGAGCGTTCCGCCAAAATGCTCTGAAGTCTGGATAGGGTGGGTTAATGTCTTCCCCAAAGGCACGTTGTCGCATGAACGCCCACGAGCGAAAACACCCACGCGAATGTCGATTGATTCCAATTCCGGTCGTAACAAAAACTTGTGCCGTTTCCGTTCGGCACGGTAATTGGACGGCAGGCAGGACGGTATGCATGGTATATTAGCCTGTGCGCAGATTAGTATGCTATTCCACGATAGAAGAGCTATATTTAGATTCGGCAACCGCGATTGATTTACCGCGATGTTGATCTATTATTGTTGCCGACGATCGATCGCCGCCGCAGCTTATGCGTCTGTCGTTTCTCTCTTTGTCTCAGCGACCGTGTATGTATCTTCCCTCGTTCTTTTGGCATTTTCGCACGAGAACTGATAAGCGGGGGAGCTTATCCACTTGAGAAAGTATTTATCGAGCCGACTTTATCGCATCGATAAAATGTCTACATTTTAAATTGTATCATCACGTCGATCTATCTCTCGTTATACTAATGTTTATCCTTTTATTATCCTTTAATGTTTCGCTGCGCGTTTTTATGAAAAACCGTTAATCTCGTTATTGCACTTGAGTATATCCTTCGCCGAAAGAAACGTACCTGGAAGATCTCACGCGTTCCTCAGACCCCATCCAATTACGGAAAATAAATTACCATCGAGTAATTACGATCGCGAGAAAGGTTCAGTTCCCCAAGCTGCTGTCAGATGACATCTCTCGGTGCGGAGAGCGCAATACAAAATGCAGTACGAAGCGGACTAACGCCGCGAGATGGCAACGGTTGCCTCATCGCCGGCTGGTTGATAGGGAAATGGCCATCGCCGGTCTCTTACGAACGCGACTGAGAAACGAGCGAAACAATAGTATTTCTGCGTAACTCGCGAGTTTGTCGCAGTTCGCGGTCAAACGCGGGTACGAGGTATTGGTACTTAGTAATCAGCCGCGGAAACGGAACGTCAGTGGCTGACAAGACTTCCTTGAGTCATTTTATGGCATAGAATATGCTGGTTCTGAAAGTAAGAGACACGAACTTGCAAAGTCCTGCGTGAGCTCTGCCGAGAACTGCTTTTGGTTTCTAGGCGACCGTCGCTAATTGCATCCCCAAACGCTCCCGTATTCTTCAGAATTTTTTATCGAGAGCAAACTCCTCCGCATCGATCAAACCTGAGGGAAAGATGTCGTTCGAAGAAGAGAAGAGTAAGCAATTGCCTCTGATGGATCTCTAGTGATCAAATGAACAATAGCGAATGCAGTTGACTTGCAGTTGTGAATATTCTAATGTATCCTTCTGTTGTTTCTGTAATTAGAAAAATTCTTGAATATGCCGGTAGAAGAGAAGAGGGCTTTGTACAAGGGACAGGTGATTACTCTGGATCAAATTCCCACATGGTCGGAATATTGGAATGAGAACAAGTCTACCATTGCCATTAAGGATCTTAAAAAAACTGAGGAGATTGACGAAGATTTGGCTACAAAAATTTCGATATGGCAAGGGGACATAACATCGCTTGAAATAGATGCCATAGTTAACGCTGCAAACTCGAGTTTACTGGGAGGTGGTGGAGGTACTTGATGTTCCCGATGAAAAGTATTGTATACAACATATATGGTATCTTTGTTGATACAAATACCTTTCTAGTTGATGGAGCTATTCACAGAGCAGCAGGATCAAATTTAAAAAAAGAATGCGCAACACTAAGAGGATGCCGAGTTGGCGAGGCTAAAATTACCGGAGGCTACATGCTACCAGCTAAATGTAATTTTTATCGAAAGAACCAAGTTTCAAGTAATCTTGGTGTTCTACTACAAATCTCAATTTCCAAATGATATTTCAGATGTTGTTCATACGGTTGGCCCCCAAGGTGAGAAACCAGACAAATTAAAGGAATGTTATGAGAACAGTCTAGCTTTGGCTAAGGAGAATAATTTGCGCACTATCGCATTTCCATGCATATCGACTGGAATTTATGGATACCCACAAAAACCAGCAGCCAAAGTAGCTTTATCAACAGTCAAAAAGTTCCTTCTCAAAAATAAGGATGTTGTAAGATTGCAAATTTACATTTGGTGAATTTATGATCCTATTGTTTCACATATAATTATTGATACTCAGGATGGGATTTTTCTTATAATTTTACAGATGGACAGGGTTATCTTCTGCTTATTTTTAAAAACTGACAAAGACATATATGAAGAGCTATTGCAAAAATATTTTGCTCTTGAGTAAGTAGCTAAAGTGGCAACTCCTTTTATTTCGCAATGTTTTGTTACATTTAGTATGATCTCTTTTAAGGTTGTATCTGACTGGAAAAATATTAATATATACAACATTGTATGTATCTAACATATAATTCTATTTCCTACCCTATTATTTCTGAAAACCTAAGCATGTCGGGTTATTATCTTATTATTAAGAAATAAATCGCTGAGAATAAAACGAATTTATAAAATATTCGGTCGCTTTGCAGAGGAGCACGACTTTACAAGAAAAATTATTCCCAACTCTCATTTTGTATCTACAATTTTTATACCTACAATTCTTAAATTTGAAAGTTTCATCACGGTATCACGTTATAATTTTATAGGTTAAACTGACAAGTCCACTAAGCAAATTCCGAGCGTTAAATCGTGATCATACTATGAAACATATTTCGGACCGAATGTATAGTATCAAGTACTTGTTTCTCATCGTTATTTCACACTTCGATTCTTCTGAATAACTGAAACTCAAAATCGTCAACGCGATGCGTGATACCGTCTGCGAGCAGACGATGCAGCCAGACTTCAAAAGAGAGAATTCAAAAAGCGCGCGTCAGCGTGCAACTGAATGAACGGAGCCGGTGCGCAGCCGCGGTTTCGCGCCGACGCGCTGCACGCCTGCGGGGCCGACGACGGCGCGTCGCCATCTTGAAAAATCGAAGTGCGGTGATGTCTGTATGTGGCGAAAGGTGGGGGACGGTCGTTAACGCGGTGCATCTTGGACGGAAAATCTGTCACAAATGGACGAATATCCCTGGCGCTGAGGCCCGCCCGAACGCGCCGCCGTAACGTCGCGTACTTTCCGCGCCCATACCGCGCGACACGGCAGGCAACAGCAACACACTGCTTCCATCGTAGTGGTCGCCGTCGGTGTCGTCGTCGTCGTCGTCGTCGTCGACGACGTTGCTGCCGTTCTTGCCGTTGTAACCGCCTCGAGCACACCCAAGGTACTCTCGCAGTCTCTCCTCACCGATCTGCCGTGGTGAGGGTGTGCGCTTTATCGCGACCACGAACGTACAGCCAGTGAGTAAAGTGAAGTACAGTGCGTGCCGAGAAAGACAGAGAGAGAGAGAGAGAGAGAGGAGAGAGTGAGAGGGAAAGAGAGAGAGTAAGAGGAAGAGTACAGTGTGTCGATAGTAGCCGCAACGGTTACAATCGCGCCGGTGCCCGTGTAGAACTCTGGGTGAGCGTCATCAGCGAGCGAAAACCTCGCCTGTTGTGTGTGTGTGTGTGTGTGTGTGTGTATGTGTGTGTGTGTCGAAGCGCGTCGCAATCGTGCTCGTGTCTTTCCGCGAAACGAACCTTCCCGTCGTGGTCTCTACGTGCGCTCGAAACCGACGTTACCGTGCAACCGCGAGGGAAGTTCGAGCTGTAGCGTGCAACGGCTGAACAAGCGTGGCGGGGCGCGCACCGTAATGGGCGAACAGAACGTGCATGCGCTCACAACAGCGTGAGCAGCATCATCTTCGACCTCCTCGAACGCGCTCTTCGAGCGGACGGAAAGGGACGTGAAGGAAACTTGCTTGGGAGCAACCGTGAAGAGATATCGTGCGGCGTCTCGTTCGGTAGTTCGAGAAGAGAAAGAGAGGAAGAAGGTGGGAGGAGACGGAGAGAGAGAGAGAGAGAGAGAAAGAGAACAGGAGAAGACGATAGAGAGAGAGCCGCCACTCGATCTCCACGATAGGCGAGACAAGGCGGACGTGCGGACGGAGTCCCGTAATCCTGAATGGCCGCCGTGGCCGCTTTCTAGGTTACTGACGGACAAGCGGTAGAAGAACGAGCGAGTGAGGAGGACAGAGGAAGAAACGAACGTGAGTAAAAGAAACGAGCGAGGACAAAACGGAGTTCGGTTGAGGTAAGAACGGCAGGGGAAAAGAACGAGCGAGAGAGAGAGAGAGAGAGAGAGAGATAGAGAGGGAGCGAGCGAGCGAACGAACGAGCGAGTGAGCGAGCAAGCGACCGGGCGAGCGAGCGAGCGAGCGAGAGAAAGAGAGAGAGAGAGAGAAAGCGTTTATTAAGCGTACGGGAGAGAATCCTTCTGAGCTCGCGGAAATCAGTACACGACAGCCAATATCAAACACATCAATCGTAAACAACGTCGTGCTCGTGAACACGCAGGGATATGCGAGTAGAAAAGAGAAATTGCAAATAAAGATATCCGAGACAGCTTCGTGTGAACATCGAGAGAGCGACCAACCGACCGGGAGAAAGAGAGAGAGAGAGAGAGAGAAAAAGTACAAGGAGAACGAGAGGAGCATTATATAGGGGAAGAAGGACGGAGCGACACACCGAACGACCGTGAGCGCTCGCGAGCGCGCGCACGCACGCACCCGCACCCGCGACTCCACCACCGCCTCCGATGTGCGGCCACCACCGAGGAGGCACGCGAACACCGTGTTCCGGCCGTCTCTCTCGTTCTCGCCGGCGAAGCCTCGCTGTCACCGTCGCCGTCGTCCGCGCGTGTTGACGGAGGCCTGAGTCGTCGGTGCCACTGTCGCTCTACCTAGTGTTACCGCTTACCATTTTCGCGAGAGCGCACGGGTCAGCTAGCATACATCGTTACCAGCATTGCTACTACCACCACCACCACTGCTATTATTACTACTATCACCGTCGTCGACGTCGACACCACCTTCGTCATCGTACGTCCTCATACTCGCCGACGTTATCGGCGTCGTCGTCGTCGTCGTCGCCGCCGTCGCCGTCGCCGCCTCGCCTGCCACGGGGAGCGTGTGTGTGTGTATGGTGTGTACGCCGCTTGAGCCATACTTAGCTCGCATGTATGCATCTCTACACGTATGTATTTATTATCAATATATAAAAAAAGACAGGAGGAAGAGAGAGAGAGAGAGAGAGAGAGAGAGAGAGAGAGAGAGGGTGGAAGGGTGGGTGTGCAAAGGGAGAGAAACGAGGATGAGTAGTAGCTCGTATCGTCCCTCTACATGCATGCATATATGGACATATTTGTGCGTGTGTCGTGCGAAAAGGAGTGTGTGTGTGCGCGTAGGTGAGTGCACGGTGTAAGTGTCCAAAAAAATTGGGTGGGGAGGGCGGTTAGCCAGCCGAGCTCGCTGCGAGGAGTAGTCACTTCGCTTTTCTTGCTCTTCTCTCTCTCTCTCTCTCTCTCTCTCTCTCTTTCTCTTTCTCTCTCGATTTGGTTCCGAGGAGGCTTCCTGCCCCTCTCTCTGTCTCTCTCTCTCTCTCTCTCCCCCTCTCCTTCTCTGTCTCCTTCGCCCTCAGCTCATGCTCTCCCTGTCCGCGTTCTCACGTATTTTAGCTCGTTGTCCGTAGCCTTTCTAACCTTACATTTTCGTCTGTCACCGGTCTCGTCTCTCTGACGAGACGAAATATTCTTCGCTCCCTTGAGGGAGTGGCTTTACTTACTGCTCGCAGTTGAGATCTCGCATGGGATTCTATATATCGATGCTCGTTGCCTTCCCTCTTCTTGCGTGACGATTTGTTCAGGGAACACAGGTAAATCGGTTTTGGTGATCGGAGCTTTCAGTGTGCTAACATTAGGTAACATTACGGTAAAAAATATATTTTTTCCATTGACGGAAGACAGTGAAGTGTTAAACAGCTGGGCGCGATAAAGGCCCCGCAATTACGTCGTGATCGAAGGTGGGTTGTGCTCCGCGTCCCACGTTTACATATAAACGTGGCTGCCCTATACTAAATATTAGCGTAAAGTTCACGCTCGCGGTTTTATTGCCGAGCGCATCGAGAATTACGTTTGCCACGTTTGAAACTCACTGCGAGACTTCTATTAGCCGGGACAGAGAGAGAGAGAGAGAATATCTTGCTCGCTCGAACAGCGAATTCTCGAATAGACACCCTAACCTAACCCAATCCAAACTAACCTAACTCCCAGAGTCTAACCTAACCTAACTCAACTCTCCGCTCGCGAAGGTGGTGGATGCTGAATACCGATGGTGGAATTCATCCGTGTAATTTCAACGCCGCACGAGAATCACGCGTTTGCGTTTGTGCGATCGCGGATGTGCGACGAGAATTATAGACAGAGAGACGACGAGACGACTTTCGGGGTTCGTTGCCGGGGAAATGAAATCGCCCGTTTCCGTCGCGTGCGTGTCGGATTCGTTCGATCTGGGATACCGGCGCGCGGTTATCGAGCGCGTCTCGTATCTCCTCTCCTCTCCTCTCCTCTCCTCTCTTCCCTCCTCTCTTCGTGGTCGGCACACTGCCATAATATCATTCGGCGACTCCGAATAAACTCGCGTCAAACTCTCGCTTGTCGACGTCGCCGAAGGTGCATTAATGAGACGCTAAGTGCTGCAACAATAGCGCAACCCACATTATCTCGCAGCGATGTAGTTTGCAGCCGTTAAACCGTGAACTTCAAGCGAAACACTCGATTGACGTGTGCCACCTTAGCCGTCCTATTTTTGTAGTAACTGAAATACTGGCGGAGTAACTCGAAAAGAATCTTTTATAAAGCCAAAGTCGCGTGTTCTTCGAAGCATCCCGACTGCGCACATCCGACCGCGCACTGCCACCATTTGACAGACGCTTCTTTTTCTCTTTTACTTCTGAATCTGCCTTCTTTGTTAACATAACAACAGCTGCACGTACACGTTTGTGTCGTACCTCGCGCAACGTAAGAACGAAAAATTAAATCTGCCGTAGCGAGAATCGCGAGCGAGCGAGCGAGCGAGCGAGCTCGGTCGGCGGGTAGTCGTGTTTCGAAACGTAGCAAATAATCGTTATAAAACAGATGTCTACCGGTTTAGCGGAGGTATCGAAGCGACGCGGCGTGCATCGAAATGTGTCAACGATAAAGAATAAACAGCGGTCGCTTTCCACTCTCTATAATTACATAGAAAGCGCTGGTTTGGACGAGCACGCTCGTACGCGTTATTGTTTACGCATTGACGCTCAACGGCGGTTAACACATGATCGATACGCCTTGGGCATTTCTTTTACCGCGATAAAATATCGCGATAATATCGCGCAGAGGGAAGGAGGCAGAGAGAGAGAGAGAGAGAGAGAACTCGGCTGGGGGGATGAAAATGATGAAGTTCAGCCGAAAACTCCACGCGAGGCATAAATTTCACGTCGTGTTTTCGCGTCG